GGTATGATGACAAGGGACAAGAGCAAGCAGTAGAAGAAAAGCAGGGGCCTCTCCTATGGGATAAGGCCACCTTCCAACCTCCATCCCCAGTCCTGATGCAGTGCTCCAAGCCCCTCTGGGAAAGTGGGTGGGAGGGCAGAGTGACTGGCCAGGGTTGTGTGACTAAGTCCCCTTTCTTCATCATGGATGAAAGTGGCCCAGCAAAAGCCTTAGCACACAGGAGGGAGCCCAGCCTGCTCCTCCATTCATTGCAGAAGTCAGAGGAGTTTAATCACTTAGATGCAGGACATCATTTCTGTTACCAGAAACCGGCCTGTTTTATCCTCTAGAAGCAAACATGAGTTTGCACACAACCTCCTTAAATGCTTCCTAGAGTCCTGATGTTTCAGTGTAGCACAGAGCCTCCTGCTGCTCCCCTCCTTCCATGGCTGCCTTGCCCTCCCTTCTCTTCCCTGCACTCCACCCAGATCCTTAACAGGAAAGTCTCACTTGGAGATACCACAGGGGACACAAATGTCATGGGGGCTACTCAGGCCAACACCAAGGGGGTGGGGACTTTCAGCTGGCACAATTTAAGGGGGATCCCATTTCAATCCCTAGGGCCAGCTGGACCCAGAAAGGGACAGCCTTTACCCTTCTGGTGGCCAACATGCCACAACACCAGCAACTCAGCCTGCCACAGGCTCAGACCAGACTGACATCCCAATCTAGGGACCCAGAATGAAACCCGTAAGTACAGAATAGCTCACGAACACAAATGGCAGAACACACCAGCAGAGATATCACCTGGAAGAAGCTGGGTGAAGGTGTCTCTGGTGAATCCCAGGAGCATAGCGAGAGCAAATGTCACTGCTGTTGCTCCTGATTTTAGATGGCATTTCCTAGAGTGGCAAAAGTGGCTCATGGACTGTCTGCATGAGATTGTGCTGAAGAATATGTTAAAAATGCAGATTCTAGGGCCCCACCCCAGGTTTCCTGAAGCAGAATTTCTGCTAGTATCCAGGAAGCTACTTTTGTGTGTGTGTGTGTGTGTGTGTGTGTGTGTGTGTGTGTGTGTGTCAGTCATGGGGCTTGAACTGTGGGCTTGGGCGCTGTCCTGCTCTTCAGCTCAAGGCGAGCACTCTACCACTTTTCTGGTGGTTTACTGGAGATAAGAGTCTCATGAACTTTCCTGCCCGGGCTGGCTTTGAACCGAGATCCTCAGATCTCGGCCTCCTGAGTAGCTAGGATTACAGGAATAAGCCACCAGCACCTGTCCAGGAAGCTACATTTTTAACCAGTACTTTAAACCTAATACACACTAAAAGTGAAAGTCAGTGCTTAAAGAAGTCCCAATAGTGGTTCCTCTAAGATCAGTAACAACAAGGAGGAAGGAATCATAAAGCAACACTGCCTTGTATCTCAAGCACAGTTCTTTATCCTCATCTGTCCTCTCTCCTCTAACAGCCTGGTTCCCTGGATCAGAAAGAGAGAACCCAAGCCAGAACCAGGGTACAAGGCTCTAGCAACTTGACTCTAAGTTTCCCGGGAGCCAAAGCCAAAAAGAGACCATGACTTGGTTATGCAGTCAGTCCTCTCAATCCATTCATCTAACATGTATAGGCTCAGGGTATATAACATGTACATGCTCATGCACTTTGCTAGGGCCTACCGACAAAAAAGTAAGGAAATAGATATGGTCCCTCACATCACCTCCCAGGTCTTCACAAAGAAGAAGGCTTTTCTTACATGTAACATCAATAAGCCATTTCTTCACATGGGATATACAGATTAAACAAATAAATATAGCAGGTGCTGTAACAGATTTCATAACACTGTTTCTGGTAGCATCTCTCAGTAAGGCCAAGGGCATCGCTCCAGTATCCATCCTAGTAAAAGCAACTGCAATATAGAAAAAGAGTCCAAAGAAGAGGTTTCTTATGATGCTAATTGTTCCAAGGATAAATCCTAAGCTATGTAGAAGACAGAAAGGACCATTTGCCCTTCAACTCTAACGACGTGGGGAAAATGTTTCGAATATAAGCAAAGAGAACAGGATATAAAATGTTATGCTCCACGAGGTGAAAATCTGTATGCATATGAATAAAGATAAGAAGGGAATATGAAGATTTAAAAATAAAAAAAGACATAAGGGCTCAGGCTCCTTGGGGGGAGATGCTCTTAAATCTCAAAATAACGACTTATCATTGCCATCACCTGGCCCACTAGTGCCTGCATCCAAGCCTATTTTAAATGCCTCCTTCAGCCTAGCAGAGCTAAGCTCAGAAATACAGGCTGCTGTAAGAGCCTCGACTCTACACCTATTGCTATACTGAAGCAAATGAAATGATGTGATGTGACTTTCAGCAACAACATAGACAAGCCCACAGACAGAGTGCTCGGTGCACATCGGACGCCTGCATGAATTCTCTACCTGGCAATACAAGCCACCAGTATAAGACTCAGGGGGCCACAATGACAAGATATGACAACCCACAAGGTTTCCTGCCCAGATCTGGACCCCCGCCCCACCAGAAAACGAAACAATCTCTCCCCAGGCCTCCTGGCCACCTCACCATGGATGTCAAGGAGAAGCAGCTCTATACCCTTTCTTTTCCTTTCAGATGGTAGTATAGAAAGCAAGCCAGCAGGGAATCCCAGTAAATACAGCCAGCCCCTTCGGACCACCAAAGTTGACCCTAGTGGGCTCACCTCTTTTCCAGACACAGAAATCTAACACCTACAGAGCTCTAGACAGACAGACAGCGATGAGTGAAACCCAGTCTCAGCCACTGCACCTTTATAAAATATACAGAGTAAACTGAGAGGCTGCAAGGAAGCCACAGTTCACTCCCTAGCCCCATGGGCACCAGCCTAGTTGGGACCTTGACCCAACCCTCTCCAGTTCACATCCCCCATGCCTGTGACTAAAGCTGAGCATACCCATTGCTCCCTCCATCTCCACGACAACCCTCCCACTCTCCCACCTCCCAACAATATGGCCTCTACACATTCCTGACCCCTCTTCTTGGCACCTGAGCCCATCCAGAGGACCAAGCCTCTGTCCCAAAATGAACCTGGTATATAAGCCATACAACAGAACCCCAGTCTTGGCATATTCTTCTCTCAAGAGGGGGAGTTGCTGTCTGAAGCATATGATTTTATAGAAGAATCCTGTTCTCAAATTGGAAAAAAAAAATGTATCAGAGAAATTAAACCTTACTCAGTTTGGAGCAGGGAAATATACCAAAATACCAGTTTGGAAAGACAGGACAAGGTAGAAAGGAGATAAGGAAGGAAAAGGACACTATTACCCAGGCTAGGGAAGTTCAGGTGGGTAGGAAAGGAAAAGAAGACAAAAGCTCAAGCAGGTAGTTCCGCAAAGTGCCAGCCAACTTCACATCTCTGTGTTTTTGGCTCCCAGTTCTCTTTCCCTCCCTCACCCCCTAGGTCAGAAGACACTGGCGAGATAAGGAGTAAAGCACTGCATCACCTATTGGAGATGGCAGACACTGCACACATTTCTAGGGTACCAGGGCTATGTTGTGTGGGCTCAGGACAGTACTCATTCTTACCCCATTGTCACTGCCTGTACCTTCCATTCTTAGCCAGAGAATATCTACCAGAGAATCAGCCACTGCTGTCCCTGTACCCGACCCCAAAGAGGAGGACATATGACCAGCCACATCATCTCTATAGCAACCATCACCTTGGACTTAAGGTACACAAAGAGAATGAAAATAAACAAGTCAACTTTATAGGCAACGCACATGAAAAGTGAGACAGAGGCCAGTGTTGGATACAGCAGAACAAGTGCTGCTGACAGGGATGAGGAGAGACTCCCAAGCCAGAGGGCAGACACAACCCTGGGAAACAGGGCCCAGAACAATTGCCAACACAGCAAGAAGCCCACTGTCACCTCTGGAATTTTATAGCTTCTCTGAATGCTTAGGACATCTACTACATCTCTTGCCCCAGAGGTGTCTGGCCAAAGCCCACATCTTCACCAGGGCATCTGCCCTGGCTCCTGATGTATTTAGTGTCCTATTGCCTAGCCTTAATTCTTTTCTCTAAGTCTCATAGCCTTTGTCCCAGGGTTGTACCCTGCAGCTCTCCAGGACCTAACCTCTGTACTAACCAGTCCTCTTCACTGAGCACTTTACACATTGCTAGGTCTATACCTATCAGATGAGGTAAGCTTGGCAAGCACCCAATTTGAGTTCAGAGAGTGTATGTTCAAGGTGTTAAAGACAGGTTCTGGCCTTCCAAGCCCCAGGTACTAGAGATCTCACAAATGAGGCTGTAAGGTCTGGGCCTTCACGTTCCTCACACCCGAAGGCAATGCAGCCCCTGTCCAGACCAGGCCCCTGGGATTTCCAGGCCATAAGCACCATCACCCTCTACCCAGGATAGACTACATCTGCTGCTGCACCACCAACTTTGTAATTTGATCAAAAAAAGCAATCAAGTTCATCTGGCAGGATTTGTTCCCTAGAAGCCCTCGCCAGTAGCAGCCTCCCCTGATGTTTACAGATTTTCTTCCCTTGGGAGTCTGTTCTGCCGCCTGGTGGGCAGGGGAGGCTGGATTCGTCAGAGCTGCTCACTTACTGCATTTCCATCCTAAGTCACCACCGGGGCACAGAGAGTAGGATAAGCCTGCAGTGGCCACCACTGCCCCCAAAGGAGAGGCTCCAAGCGCCCCAAATTAAGAACTCTCCATGTCACTCCACCCACCATACCTAAGACCCTCTACCTCTCTAAGGACTGAACTCCTTTGAGCCTTTGAGGACCAGCTACCCACATCTCTTACATCTTCATTCTTCTCTCCGAGCCCTTCCCATTTCCCCAAGCAACCTCCTTGTCTGTCTGGCTTCAAAGTTCACCCACCCTGAAATTCCAAGTCATCTCCAAGTGCTGAAACATGTGGCCCCCCACCCCCCACAACCCTCTAACTCCTGAGGCATCTACAAGAAGCTATAGCCTCTAGAGAGATTCCCCAGGCCAAGATGGGGAACACTCACCTCGGGCCGACAACTTCTTGGTATTGATGATTTTTGCTGCATACTCCTGCGTAGAGGTTTTCTTCACACACCTGCGGACCACAGAGAAAGCACCCCTGGAGGGAGAAGGGGAAAAGAACTGGGACACGGAGCAGGGCAGAGTGACACAGACACAGTTCAGGTCTGAGGACAGTGATGCTCTTACCACTAGACTTAGTCACACTCACACACCAGCAGTGACCAGTGTAAGGAGGCAGGATGAGGCCACTGCATGACACTGAACAGATGTGGGTGAAGTAGCACCTGGCTCCCACCCACTCCTCTAGTCCCCAGGCAAAGCAACAGCCCCAACCTCAGGCTGTACATCAGGAGTGGTGGGCAATGCTTCAAACACACACCTGCTGCATCTCAACTGATTAGCAGGCCCTGCAGTCCTGGCCAAGAGAACCAGGAGAGGAAACAGGGAGCCCCTGCCCTTGTGTCAACAGGAATAGTTGAGAGTGGAGCCAGGAGAGATGAAAAGGTAGGTATGATTCCCCAAGAAAGCAATTTCTCTCAACCACAGAGGAAAGTGAGACTCAAATCACCGTTCCCCAACCAGCTTGATCCCTCTGCCTCCCAGCTCCACTGACAGCAGGGAAGGAGAAGGCACAGTTTTGAGTCCACAGTCCCCTTCCCCATATTTTATGTGCCCCCACGACTCCGGGCTCTGGAAACGTCTAGGGGGGCGGGCGAGGCGGGGGCTGTGGTGGTGCTGGCCGTGGGTGGGGGCGGGGATAGGGTGGGGGGCCGGGGCTGCGGCGGCGGCCCGCTCGGGTGGAGGGGAGGGGGATGCTGCGGCTGCGGCGCGTGGCTCCCGGGACCACTGCAGGGTGGGGGGAGGGGCCGGGGTGCCGCAGCGCTGCCCCGCGGCGGGGCTGGGGTCCTGGGAGCGGCACAGGCAGGGGGGGTGGGGGGCGGGGCCGGGCACTAAGCCCCCAATACACACGCACACGCACACGGGCACCACTGCAGCCCGGGTAGGAGCTGCAGGGCTGGGGAGGGTCTCGAGTGCCAGGAGCGTGGGACCTGGGGACAGGGGTGCAGAGTGAGCTGGGGAGGAGGCGGGGTGCGGGGGGTGGGCGCGTGAAAGGTGCAGGAGGGGCGGGGCTGGAGGGCGCCCAGAGCAGTCCCGGGCTGCAGTCCCGCGGCCGTGCGGGGTGCAGCAGCTGCTACTGCAGGACGCGGGAAGGGGGCTGCGGGGCAGGGAGCGGGGGGAGGGCGGGGGGAGGCCCCCGAAGGCAGCACGCGGGAAAGCTGGGGGTGGGGCGGGCCGAGGGGGGCCGCCGCAGCGGCCGGTGCAGGGCCGGGGGGGGCGGGGCGGGGAGCCGCAGAGCGCCCGGGCGGCGGGGCCGGGCTGGGGGGCCGCGGCGGGCGGCGCGGGGGCCGTACTTGCCGAGCTCCTCGAAGAGCTGGTAGTCGTCGGTGAAGCGGGTGCAGGTGGCTGTGGTGGCCATGCTGGCGGGCGGACGCGGCGGTGCAGCCCGCGCCGACGTCGGTGCACAGTCACCGCCGCCCGGCCGAGGGAGCAAGAGAAGGAGACGGGGCTGAGCCCGGCAGCACCGCGAGACTTTACCGGGGAGAGCGAACGAGGGAGGGAGGGAAGGAGGGAGGGGGAGGGACACCCCCGCGCCCGCCCCGCCCCGCCCCGCCCCCAGCCCCGCCGGCCCCCCGCCCGGCCCTCGGACCGCCCCCGGGAGGGGCCTTCCGCTGCCGGCCCCGCCCCGCCCCGGGAGCCGCCCGAGCCGGGGCCCCCGGCGCCCGAGAGCCGGGAAGGCTGGGGGTTCCCGGTCCTCGACCACCGCCCGCGTGGACGGATCAGAGAGGCTGGCGACCTGTGGGGTCCGCCCGGGGTGGAGCCCGCCCGAACCCGGGAACGTGCGTGCGGAAGTGTGTCCCGAGGGGTGGGCTGGGCCGCTGAGCTCTCCGAGAGGCCCCGCACGTGGGTCCCGAGCCCGGGCCTGGCTCCTAGCTCACGGCTGGAAAGCCAAGGTCAAGGAGCCTGCGGCCGGTTGCACACTCGGGAGACGCACCCAGTCTGCCAGAGCCATCTGCCAGCCGCCTTCCTTCAAGGGGCTGATAGTCTAGACTTGTGCAAGCATCTGGGCCACAATTAGGAAAAAAGGCAAAGCATAACAGCGAACATAAATACAAACCCTTCAGACTGGGTTTGGTTTAGGACACCAGGGCGGGAGGACGCTGGCGGAACTCTACCTTCCGATACCTCAACTTGCGAGAGGGAATCGTTCTCTCTCCAGCCAGGAATGAGAGTGAAGAGGGGGATCGATCAGCAGTGTATAAAATGGCATTACAGGTTGAGGACTAAAAGAAGAGGTAGGAGGAAAGGGGAAACATCCCCAACTTCTTGCAGAGCATCCTGTGTGTTTATTTTATGGCAATCACGTTTTGTGATGATGTATCTTCTACTAGGAAAGCCAGCACCTCTGAGATAAAACGACCTAGGCTTGATGTTGGAGCAACTCACTGGCCAGGTATGTGACCTTGGAGAAGTCACATAATCTTTCTGAGCCTTATTTGCTTTAGCTGAGAACTGGGAAGGATAAATATTATCTATTTCACTAGGTCGTGAATATTTAATGGGCTAAATCACATATTGCACTTAGAATAGTACCAGACACCTAATTAAAATAATGTTTGCTGTTATTATTTAATATTTGCCTTTCCACTAAATAATACACTCCAGTGGGGCAGGGCCTCTACTTTCCTATATTCAACATGGTACTCAATTCCAGACCTCCAATAAACATTTGAGAAATGCAGTTCCCTTCCTCAGTCCCCAAAATCCCAGGTGGGTAGGACATAACTGTCTGTGTAGAAGAAAAACAAAAGCTGTCATGTTCCTGACCTGCCCGGGCAGCTGAACCCCAAGTCAGGGGCCAACCCCAACTGGCCTGTGGGACTCAGCCAACTGCTTCTGCTCAGACTTGACTACAGAAGGACGCCCACTGGGAGCCAGTCCTCCATTGTTAGCAGCTTGTGCTGCCAGGGGAGGCAGCCATGCCTTTCAGCCTCTGAAGCCACCTCCTGGAGGGCTGAGAGGAGAAGAGCTCTCAGGGAGGGCTCCTTTCCTTACCCACAGTCCCCACAACTGCTCTAAGAACCGACTGCCTAGTGGGAGTATTAGGGAATAGGAATGAGCAGAGCCCAACAGGGAAAGTATTCATTGATGGGGAAGAAGGCAGAATGGTGTAAGGAAAAGGTAAAGATTTACAAGTAGGGGCTGGTGGCTCACGCCTGTAATCTTAGCTACTCAGGATGTTGAGATGGATTGCAGTTCAAAGCCAGCCTGGGCAGGAAAGTTAGTGAGTCTCTTATCTCCAATCAACCCCCCCCCCAAAACCAGAAGAAGTGGGGCTGTGGCTTAAGTGGTAGAGCACTATTCTTGAGCTGAAGAGCTCAGAGACAGCGCCCAGGCCCTGAGTAAGTTCAAGCCCCAGGACCAGCATGCACGAGTATATCTCTATCTATCTATCCATCGATCGATCGATCCATATACACACAGAAGAAAAAAAGAAAATGGTAAAGATGACAGGTACTTTGCCCACAGGAAATAAAACAGTAAGGGTAAGGCCACTTCCCACTTCCAAGCACCAGAGAGCCAAGTCCCAAGTCCCAGTGTGGGTAGTGATGAGGTTGTGAACCCTGGCATACCAGAAAATCTTGAGTTTCTATCATCCACCCTCAAGGCAGAAGTAGCTGCCAGTCCAAGCTCCAGAAAAAGAGGCTGCATATCAGTTGATCATCAGTGTGTCCTTCCGGAGTGCTCTGGGTGATTTGGTTCTTGACCTCTAGACGCTGATACATGAAACTTTATATTTATTTATGTAAGGTGAAATAAGGAGATGAAAGAGGTCAGAACAAGCTCGGATTGGGGCTGTGGTGGAGTGCCCCAGGAGTATCTGAGGAGAAAGGGTAAAAACAAGACTATAACCCTAACCAATTTCATGTGCCTGCTATGAGAGGTTTATCATCCCAGATGAGGGTGAGACTGTACACTGGGTGTTTCAGGGTAACCATATAAAGCACTTTGTATCGAGTCACAGGGTTAAAGGAAGAATGATGAGAAGAATATTGGGGCAAAACCCTGCAAATGACTCACATTACTGTGTAAGTAGAGCCAGTTACCTTTTGAAAAATGTTCATCAGCTGCCTACTATGTGCTTGGTATAGCCTTTTCTTCAAACATCCAAATAAGGTGGAAGTTTACAGTTTACACAATTAGAAGGGTCTGTTCTTTTCTTTTCTTTTTTTTTTTTTTTTTTTGCCGGTCGTGGACCTGAACTCTGGGCCTAGGCGCTGTCCCTCAGCTCTTCAGCTCAAGGCGAGCGCTCTACCACTTGAGCCACAGAGCCACTTCTGGCTTTTTCTGTTTATGAGGTGCTGAGGAATCGAACCCAGAGCCTCAGGCATGCAAGGCAAGCACTCTACCACTGAGCCACCTTCCCAGCCCGGGTCTGTTCTTTTCTATTTCCTTTCTATCTAAGATCCTTTCTATCTTAAGGTCGTCCTCCCTTCTTGCTAGTTTTTTCAACAGCACAGATTGGCGTGTCCATTGTGGAGCCTGCAGACATGTCTGTGTGCACACACAAACACACAACCTCGCACACACTCTTCTTGATCCCCATTGCTGTAGCACCCACACAACCTCCAGCTACCCCACAGCAATTAGAGAGGGAAGATACATACAAATAATAACAGCTCACTAGCTCCCTGTGCATCAGTATCTATGGCAACCTCATGGGGTCCACAGGCTGTGCTGTTCCCATTGCAGCCAGTCCCCTGGGCAGCACCAGCACTCAGGCAGTGCCCAGAGTTCCTGGCACAGGGAATAATGTAAGAAATCAATGCCCTGATAATCACCAGAAGAACCCTACTGGGGTCTCTCATTTTCATCTTTCTCTTTGAAGCTACAGAAAATTACACTATTGCCCCCTAAATGAGAGAAGCTTCCTCCCTAAGTTTAGAATGAAATTTTAGAATATGGAAAAGATCTTAACTCTTCAGACCGAAGGAAAATGGATCTGTTGGTAGTAAAATATTTTTTGGAGGGTCCGGTTGTGGGACCTGAACCCTGGGCCTGGGCGCTGTCCCTCAGCTCTTCAGCTCAAGGCTAGCGCTCTACCACTTGAGCCACAGTGCCACTTCCGGCTATTTTTTTCTTCTTGCTTATGTGCCGCTGAGGAATCGAACCCAGGGTCTCAGGCATGCAAGGCAAGCGCTCCACTACTGAGCCACCTTCCCAGCCCCAGTAAAGTATTTTTTTAAGTGCAAGAAGGATAATGCCCTTGGAAATAAAGAATAGCTACTCACTTGTTGGGAAATGTTGCACAATCAATCCTAAGGGAATTAATTCAATTTTTTTTTTTTTTTTGTCAGTCATGGGGCTGGAACTCTGGGCCTGGCCCTGAACACTTCAGCTCAAGGCTAGTGCTCTACCACTTTGAGCCACTGTGAGACTTCTGGTTTTCTGGTGATTGGAGATAAGAGTCTCACTAACTTTCCTGCCCAGGCTAGGTTTGAACCCAGATCCTCAGATCTCAGCCTCCTAAGTAGCTAGGATTACAGGCGTGAGCCCCCGGCACCCAGTTTAATTCAATCTGTGTCCATGAAAAACTTTAATTTTGCACAGAACTCTAGGACTTACATGGTCCTGCTTGGCACAACCGAGCTGTGCCATGTGTGTGTGTGTGTGTGTGTGTGTGTGTGTGTGTGTGTGTGTGTGTGTGTTGCTTTCATATAAGATTTGGATGAAGGTAAGAGTCCCTGGCTAAAATTGAAATATACTGGACTAATGGCCTGTTTGGTTTTTTGTCGGTTGTAGGGCTTGAACTCTAGGCTTGGGCGCTGTCCCTGTGCTCTTCAGCTCAAGGCGAGCACTCTACCACTTGAGCCACAATACCACTTCTGGTTTTCTAGTGGTTTATTGGAGATAAGAGTCTCACAGACTTTCCTGCCAGGGCTGATTTTGAACTGTGATCCTCAGATCTCAGCCTCCTGAGTAGCTAGGATTACAGGTGTGAGCCACTGGCACCCGGCCTAGACTAATGGCCTTTGTAAGCTCTTCCAACTCTGAGTCTATGACTAATTTTGGAGAATTCAGAGTGATGAGGTTATTAGTTCTCTCCAAGGAACTCAGAGAATTATTAGTGGTAAAACATTTGAAGTGACAGAAGATGTAATAACAGGTTTAGGAAAGTGGAGACAAACACACAAACAAATTTAAATAAGCAATCCCAAAATTGTAAGTGAGGGATGCCTTTCTTTTCCCTGGAAGCCACATCAGAGAAGCCAGTAGAATTTTTCAAATCACAATCATACACTGAAAGCTCCATTCTTAGTAAAAATCACTCCCAACCTCTGTCCTTGCAAAGTGTTTTCCCATCCATCTCCTAAAAGTTAAAAATAAAAAGAAAGAAAGACTAAGAGCCACAGATCAAATCAATGACTGTGATATTTCTTAAAGGAAGAACTGAGGTATTTGTGGTAAGGGGCTGAGATCCTGAAAACCTGGGCAAAGAAAACTGAACTTTGGAGGGACAGGCTGAA